AAAAAGTCGCCATAAAAATAAGTAAGTAAATATATCAGAAAAATCTACTTGAGTACAGTAACAAAGTATTTGTACTTCGTTACTTCCCATCTCTGCTGAACGGTGCCTATATATAGGCGACAGCCTATGATGACAGCAAATCCCATAATGCTTTGTGAGGAGAGCTGTCCACGAAAAGCATTCTGGGATATATCTGCCTCTTCTGAGGCCTTTCTTTTGTTCTCATACACTTTGTAGATATGTTTTCTCTTATGTCCATTTTCCAAGAACTGCGGTGAGAAAGGTGAGCTTCAATGACTGTCTGAAACCGTAGTTCATGTGTAGAAAAAGATAACTAACTGGGGACGAGGACGGCCTTACGTAATCATATCACCAGAATGATTGACAATTATGGGGACCACTTATTTAGATGATCCACCCGGAAATAAAAGATCGTCCTTTATACCTTTAATGTTTCTAATTGTGAAACTGAATCAAACTATGCTTTAATGATTATAAAACGACTTTGCTGCTGCTTTTTATCTTTTTTTTTTACATTTTCTCCTCCAACATATTTGTTTTTTTAAAAGGAATTATCCAGAATATAATTTCCTAAATCACAGAAACCTTTATAACAAGAGTTTTTATGATACTGACAAACACTGTGTGAATGAAAGGAAAATCAGCCGACAGTGCGTTTCTCCTACATTCTGCACTCTCCTCTGCTGCAGTCGTCAGTATCAGAATCATTTTGCATAAACTTTGCATCTTTTATAATCAGCTCTGCCATGTTCATTTTAATAAGAGGTGTTTGGACTCTTCCTGTCTGACCTTATCAGTGGGGTGTGTGTTTTAACACAGGGAGATATACGCTGCCTATTAGCCTGACAGAACTTATAACATATTGCACATCTAAGAGAGAGTTGGATTTTTTATATATTTAAGTTTTCTTGTATTCCTCAGCATCACTGCAGGAAGTGCGGCCAGGCGGTGTGCGGCAAATGTTCGTCCAAGCGCTCCACCATCCCCCTCATGGGCTTCGAGTTTGAGGTCCGGGTGTGTGACAGCTGCTATGAGTCCATCACAGACGAGGAGTGAGTCCCAATCAGCCTGTGCTGGTGCTCTGTACCGTCTCCTCATGCGTCTCACGCTGACAAAGCCTCTCCTTCTCCGTTTGTGTTTCAGCCGAGCGCCCACAGCCACCTTCCACGACAGCAAGCACAACATTGTTTACATGCAATATGAGCCCACCACAGGAAACCTGCTCACCTCTGGCACCGACAAGGTCATCAAGGTCAGCAGAGGGGTGCTTTTCTCCATTGTAATTTTTGGTTCTGACACAAGGAGGCGACAGATTCCCAGAAATACTTTGAGGACGATGCTTCAAAACGAAGACAAAACAAAACTAACGAAGTTGAGGCAAAAAAAAATTCTCTCAAACTATTTTCTTTGTAAACCCATCAACTAATTCTACACTATTAGTCATATTTTTGTAGAATGCGTTATTATGCTCATAAAGTTCACTGCTGTTTACCATAATACAGACAATTTCATCCATTGTTAAAGGCACACTATGCAACATTTTTCAGTTAATTAATGTGTTCCATAACGTTATGGA